TATCCCCTCATGTCGTGAGCGCCTAGGGGATCGGGCAGGCGATAGAGAAATCCCACACTCGAAAACTTTCGATCAATTTTGCAATGAATCTGGAAATAAGTGTATCGCTACGTATACCTCTCAGAAGTAGCGCTGCGGCTTTTCATGGTTTAATGCAGGTGTTTTCCGCTCATCCACTGGCTGCGGATGCAATGAGCTGTCAGGCGACCTACAATAGTTGCCTGGCTTCGATAAAGTTGGTGGGCAATTCAATAGCCTCATCATTGAAAGCCAAATGGCGAAAGAGGCACGCTGTGGCGATGGATGTAGACGGTGGCACAACACCTGTTAGGGTGGCACAAGACATCATTCAAGCTGATATAAACCCAATATGGAGCCCTGCATCTAAGGTCGCCGTTGAAAGACATTTACCAAAAAGTTAGTACAAACGTGAAAGGTACGTTTTAAAGTGTTTCCAAAAAGGCTCCCCGCTTCTTCTGTCTGTTTCCCTAATAGTTCTCGGTATTAGGAGAGAGGGGCAGCTAGGTTGCGCACAGTTGCATCCTTTGTGCACTCCGAGCATTCACACTGAGTTGCCAGTAGAATCAAGCGCAAACGCACAAAACACTGCGCATTCATATGTCAAGCTAAACAGTTCTTTCAAAGTCAAGATATACAAACAGACAAATCATTTGGTCAATTCCGTGCAAATTCATAGTTGAACACGACTTGTGTAGTAGAATGTGATGAAGTATAGCTGAACCCCCCACAGCACTTATGAGCGACACATGCACCCTGCACTTTTCCCCCGTATCCTTAAATACCAGATGCACCTCACCTTCAGTTCCAAGCAATGCTAGCAATTCTTGCTCATTGATGTAAGTCTGCATCAGGACAGAACTGAGCCCTCGTGGGTCCCCAATTGCGGAGCCATCCTCTGCAGATTCCTTCGCTGTGCCATAGCTTGCGCTGGGGGCCTTCGTAAACTTAATTCGCCTCCTTTGCTCGCGCAGCAGCTTGGTTCCACTGGGCCCAGTCCCGGATTGTAGATTCTTTGGAATTTGACATGCGTTTGCAGTTCCAGGAAAGATGCCTTAATCCCCACAACAGGAGCAGATGAGTTGCTGTCGGGATGCCTTGCGTTTTCTAAGAGAGCGATTTGCGTATGGCTTCCTTCATCTTGGACTGTAGGATGAAGCTGCTTGAGACAGCTCCAACCTACAAAGATTTAAAGACCGACTAGGCTTATCATTTTCAGCTGACGCGCTGTAGGTCGCAATGAATGGCAGGGTAACAGTGGCTAACCGCTAACATATTGAATGCGGTGATATAAGCTTGGACCGTGGCCTCTACACTGGAGCGGTGCAGAGTGGAGTAAACCTAGATATGCCAAGAGAGACCCAATGTAAAGCGCGCATGCATCCACAAATCCGCGCCCTGGAAATCAGTGTGAGGCAGTGCTCAGAATAAGCTCATCCTCTTTTCAACAACGCTTAATCCATCCATGGAGAATGGGGTTTAGTCGCTTTCTCAACGAAGTAAGGCAGAGTCTGCATGCAGGCGGCCCAGCAGTACACTAAGAAGAGGTGCCTCTAAGTTTGCACTCCTGCCTTACTAGCTTTACAAGTAAAATTTGATTGAATAACTAAGTTGCATTTTAGCCGAAGAACAGCAGGAATGAGCAAATATCAAGGAGAGATTTGCGTATGGGCTAAATAATTATGAGCTGCTAGTAGGCTGGCAACCTGCTTGTTGTCCAGCGCACCGTATTAAGCTTATCCCATGGTCAGTTTCAAGCTGTGTCCCGCGGTGGCAGAAGCCGTCATGGCATGAAAAAAGATTTGAGCCCAGACGGATGCTTTGCTGAAGAAGGGCAAAGTATCGAACGAAGCCGACGAGCGCGCTGGGGTGTAACCGCGTGTCTGTGCCGAAGCAGGAGGGAGGGCGGCGTAACTACGTTAGTATTGACCCCCACAACAAGACTACTGTAAGAACAGTCCCCGATGCTTAATATTGGCGGGCCATTTGACACACTACATGTATCAGCAGTCTACTGTGCATTTGACTTCACAGACGCTATCTTACGACTCGCCAAATAAATACCCTTTTGACAGGCACAAAGCGGTGTTCAACATCTGCTCTTGTCCAAGACAAAAAATTTTAAAATCAACGCTGAGCAAGTCCTATGCTTTGGGACAGTGAGGGCTTCTCCTTTACAGTGCGAACCCATCCCTGACCTGGAAGAACATGATCATCCACTTTGCGTAATGTGGCATTGCGGAGTGAAGTCGGAGGGTGCAAACGGAGAAGTCCCTGTTCGGCTTTGAACCACAGCAGGCCGTCCTCAAAGCAGAACTGCATCATGTATCCGCTACTGTTGAGAGCTCCGAAAATCGTAAGATAAGGCATAATGCTCTTCCGACGGACGTAGCCCAAGACACTAGGAGGATCGTGAGAATCAAAGCGAACCTGGCTTCGCAGTCTCGTTTTGCACAAAGCGCATAATGTACTCTTTGGGAGCAACGGTAGGACTCACACTAGGGTATCAAAGCTGCCCCTGCTCTTCTAGTGTCTTGGGATGCTGCCGGCCGCAGCGGAGTATGCACTGTTATGCGCAGATTGTCAACAGTAAGAGCCGCGCAGTTCCATGAAATTCGGCGCTTTGCAAAGACAGATGGGCCTTGAATGCGAGAGTTTGGGCTGATCTCGAACTTTGTTATTGGACTGCCGGAAGTCAAGGGTCATAACAGGATCTACGTATTTGTCGACTGACTCAGCAAATTAGCCCATTTCACCCCTTTTACCAGGTTTATCACGCCTCGCGAAGTTGCTCAATTATCCTAAATTTGTGTTTCAAGGCTACACGGATCCCGACAGTATTATTGCTGATGGGGATTCGGAATTCCGGCCATACGTTGTGGCGTGGCGGTATTTCTCAGCTACACAATGACCCTAACATCACTAACGAGAACCGCCCTGCCTCGAGTGATCAGGAAGAGCTCACCACCCGTATTTCTGCAATATTTGCACTCCAGTTCCATAAAAATAGAACTGCTTGGCTGGCTTTCTTCCTAGTGCTGAGTTAATTTGTAACGGAACGATAAGTTTGCTTTTTTGTAGTTCTGCGGCATCCCTGGCCCAAGCTGAAGGATTCCTCCATTCCGGGTCTGGACGTGATGGTCTGTAGCCAGCAGCTACCCTTAGTTGCGGGGGAGTTCAGATAACAGAAGGTTAGGCTAGTGCACGATGCAGCATGCGGAATACACGAGACAAGTACTCCATTATAAAAGCACCGTTCGCCGTGTTTCAAGAATATATATTTGGTCGTGGTGGACCTGCAAACTTTACGAAGTGCATCATAAGCTGAAAAGACGAATAGGTGTGTGACCAGGTGGCATATACCTTTCATAGTTTTCCAACGACTCGACGCTGTGTCGCTCTGTCAACGCTCTTAGAAGTTACAAGTGTTACAGAACCATGAACATTGACAATCCAAGCAACTTTCCAGGCTTCCAAACTAATCTGCGAACTTCTCCACGTAAGCAGGTGATCCATGTGGAGGCGGATGATCCACAGAAAGCCACAGATGTGCTAGAACTCTAGGACTGGTAAGCCCTGAGGACGCACTCGATGGAAGTCTCAAGTAAAATAGAGCAAAAAGCTCGGCTTTCAGTGCCCGAAGAAGACGTAATTCATGATTATATTGGTTGTGGGAGAATTTGCGGCTCTGTTTGATAACAATGCTAGTCCCCACGAACAGTATTCCTCTTATTCCTTCGTCAAAAGATGAAAGCGATGATGAATATAGCACCCCATTCAAGTGGTCCGCTCTGCATGCTCCCAGAGTCCTAAAATCTTAGCTCTCCGCTGACATTCTGAATTACATTCGCTCCAGCCCTCGATGAGTTTGGCAAGCCTGGCATACTGTTGTCTCGCTTTTCTATATTGAGTTTTTGGGTTGTAGGGCAGCCTGTCTTGTCCTCGCAGTAGCCCACGCTTGAATCTAACGAACTTTTCAAGCTCGAGATTCGTTACACTCTTCTGCTTACGACTCAGAAGAAGAGAAGTAGACGAAGTCTTTACTTGCGAACAACGCTGCGACAAATAGTGCGCAAGAGCAGTCAAATACCATTGCCAATAATTGTATGAGCTTAATCATGTTCAAGACGCGCAGTGGTAATTTCACAGGTGTAGCGTAGTCCACTACATAAAGAGGAAGCTGTAGTTTTGTCCTTAGAATCTATGCTTTTCGGCTCTTGCTGTATGTTGGGGCAGCGCGAGGCTTCCCAGCGGCATTCTGGAAATGCATGTACCCTGTGCAGTCAAAAGCCATATTTTTGGAGCAGGGCTGCAGAGGACATCCATTGCCACTCGCTACTTTGAGTACAATGCCTTCAAGAAAAATGGCAAAACGCTTCACTGCTGACGTGCGTGCACGCGCAAAAAGAGCTAAAGCGTGTAACCAACTCTAAGCTGCTTTGTTGCTTTAAGCCAAGAACAATGCACCAATTAGTGGAGGGGGCTCATGAAGAACAGGCTTTCAGTGCTGGGTCACCTACCTAGGAAGGACCCAGAGAGGGGGCCCCCCAGAAATCATACCCTAAAACGGCAAACAATGGGGGCAGCTACACAGGTACCAACATGGGCTTTAACACGAATTCAGTCTTTGAATGGCATTTTCTTCTTCTGATGCTGAATGGAGGTGATAAAAGCGCATGGAAAGAGAGACTTCACGCGCATTTGTGGAGTTGCTAGACTGGGCCTATATACCTGCTTCGAGCAGCCCGCAGCCCTGTACCCCGCAAAGCAGCTTCCGTTTTGATCTTGCCTCTGTGTAGGCCTTTGTGAACGGTCTGTAGCTCTCTGTTTCTGAAATCAGCGTGCAGGGGAGGCCCTTGTGGAGTCTCTTCAAGGCCCCCGATTAGCCAGTGCATCGAGACGTTGATCTGCAGCAGTAACGAAGGCAGCAACAAAGACAAAGAATCACCCGTATAATGGTTTCGCCCTTTATTTCCAGCCGAATGGCCGCTTCTTTGGGGCCGGGAAAGAGCAACAACGCGGCAACACAACCAGCAACAGGTACAACATCGGAGTTCCGAGCTAATCGTGAGGCATCGTCAGCTGCAAAGGCTGCGCCTGACCTTTACAGTGCGTCTCCTGATCGGCCGCGCGCTTTACTGCCCGAGGCAGATCGGGAAATCGCGGAAGCAGTAGCCCCCATCTCTGGTTGTTTGTTGCTCGAATGGCTTGCTACCCACTTCTCTTGCCGGCTCTTTGCCGACACAGGCCGCACACTCTGCCTCCTTCCGCAGCAGCTTCTTGAGGTGCACCCCTCTCCAGTTGTGGCACTGCTGGAGCGGCAGCAGGAGCACTTCAGTCGGGGCAAGGCACCTGCCCAAGTCACACTGGCGCAAAATGAGCAGCAACAGCAGCAGCATCCCCAGGTATCTCCGTCGGCACGAAGTCTGCAGTGCAGTTCTGCGCATGACATGGCGCACAAAGACGCGATTTCCACCTCTTCTGGGAGCTACATTCCTGAAATCCACACCTGCTGTGGCGAGGGCACCATGCCCCCCCATAGGGGAAACAGCAGCAGTGGGGGAGTAGACGTGCGTCGCTTGTGCCAGCGCATGCGGGGGGTGAGGGGGGCTGCATGGGTATGCGCTGCTAAGGAGATGGAGGAGAAACTTCGGGATACCTTAGGACCCTGCACATTGGATGCCTTTGCGTGTCCTTGTAAGCCTGTCTTCTCTGCCTTTCGTTACCCCCGACTTCCTCCTTGCGATCGCAGTTTATCCAGTGATCACTCATAGCCAGCCTGTCAGCTTTCTGACAGGGGGGAAGGGTCCACGAGATACCAGGAGGTTCGGCAGACACAACGGGCGGGCTGTTGTGCTGTTGTGGCGCCTCCTGGGCTGTGCAGTTGCCTTTGCAATCAGCGAAACGGGCACATGCAATATTTTTCCTCTCCCGCAAGAACCTGATCAGCAACAGTCTATGAAGAACTCAAGCTTCCAAGTATGCCCCCCCGTCGGCTTTCTTCAGCTTTGCCAACAGGGAGGTGACCAAGGGTCACTCTCGGAGCTGCAAACGCTCTTGAAGGAGGCCCTTCTCGACCCGGCTTGGAGGTGCAGGCCTTGCCGTCCCGACGGTCTTTCAGAAGCCGCCTTCAGGGAGCTTTTCTTTTATTTGTGGGGCCCAGCCGGTGCGCCTTTTTTATTTACGGGATGCAGCGGGACCTATAAGACGCACTGCAGTGGCGTGGCTTTGAAACAAGGCTTTTTATAGGGGGGTTTTATAATTTGAGCTTATGGTCCTGACTACAGCACTTTTCCGCCTATGAGATTGCTTCAAGCTCGAAATGCTGCTACACGTCTGGGGGTACTAGCCGGTTTTTTGTTTTCTTTGCTTGCCGCAGATGCGTGTATGGCGGCGGACGTTGCCGCTTGCCACATCGTGCAATGGCGTCTCTCCTTCAACTTTTGCAGCTCATGTCCCACAGGGAGATTTCGTGTCTACGAACACATTCTGGATTTTGCAACTAGTAACAGCAGCGGCGACAGCACTAGCACCAGCAACAACAGCGCCAACACACACATTAGTTCTGCTTCGCAGAACAGTGCGGAGGGAGAGAAGACGCTTTCGGCTACCTCCGCAGCTTGCCGCTGCTGCTGCCTGCGCTGTTGCTGTATTCAAATGCCTCAATCCGTTCTTGAAGCTGTGGCACGTGACGATTTGCGCCTCGCACCGCAGTGCAAAAACGGTATCAGCAGTAACAGTAGGGGCAAGCGCGGCCTGCCCGACCGGCTTCTCCAATTTACTGAGGTATGTCTAGCTGGAAGTTTTGGTGCTGCAACGGATATGGTGACTGAGGTAACGGGCAGAGTGCATACCTAACTGTATGTCGCACTCACGGTGCTATTGCTGTGGCTAGCCCTGTTGCATGCTCTCGACGGTTCCCATGTTGGGCCCTTTTGATAGCTGCTGTTTGGCTGTCTCTTGGTTCTAGCTCACAGTATGTGAGAGTCTCGCTGCATTCGTCTCTCTCTTGCCTGTAGTCTTCCAGAATCGTCTTCATGGCTGCAATTTGCGTCTGTCGGGGTGCGTTGGCTCAGGACTGGCGAAACTCTGAGCCATCGAGTGATGGGGAGTCGTGGTTGTCTGAGCTACCCTCTTCCCCAAGCTCTTCAGCTGACTCTCCTCGTATGTCCCCTAGGGCGGACGCTGCAGATGCAGAAGCTCTCGAGGGAATCCATGGCCTTCCGGCTGCTGCAGAAGCGCTACCTGTTCCTGGCTTGAGAACTGAGGGAGAAAAGAAATCCAGCGATACCCAGCAGAAGGGTGGTAAGGCCTGCGACGAGAGGCGGGGTGGAGGTCTTTCTGATGATGCAGTGAATAATGCCGTGGCTGCCTTGCAGCAGTGCCTGTCTGTATGTATTCCCATGGCCGGAAGTCGCGTGACGCCCCTTCTCAACAATAGCACACTGGACGATGCGGGCTGGATTGTCGCTGGAGCCCATAATGTTAATGCTTCCCAGATTACCGCGCAGGCTGCGTCGGTCCGTAGCTTTTTGGCATTTGCGTGTACCGAATCATGGGAAGTGCTGTTACTTCTGCACGCCTCAGCCGCTGCATCGCGCGCCCTTTCAGACCCTTTACAAGGCTGTGCAGATGTCTGTTCTGTCCTGGGAGTCTCACTGGCCAACGGGAATGTTGTACGGCGGCTTAGTGCGCGCCCTGAAGGGGTCTATGAACAGCTTATGCGGAAAGAGGAGAGCTCGCAGAAGGAAGAACTCGACTTCCTACTCTCCCCCTTGGAAAAATCGCATGCATATATAAAGATACCCCACTGCCTTACGCTGGTCGAGGCTTATGAGTTGCAGAAGGGCAGGGAGTTCCGGGTCTTTGCTGCTGGACGGCTTCCAGTGGGTATGTTTCCACTTCCGTGTTGCTTGTCCGTCATATTCTGGTGCACCTATTCAACGCACTGTGCGTGCTCTATGTACAAGCTGGGAAGGTTTCCAGGCGTCCCTCTAGTGCATGCACAATGCAGTGACTGCATCCGGACTCCTCACCACCAGCGTAGCGAGCAGATCGCAGCTGCAGGCTTCGTGTGTTGTTTTGAACTGATCACAGGGATCAGCCAGCTGTGGCTGGCAGAGTGCGTGCCTGAATTAGTCAACAGCGCTTCCTTGAGAAGAAGAACGAGGCGGGCTGTTTGGCAATTCTTCCTGCGAACGCTTAGTAGACAGCCACTGCCGCCTCTCTTCGTCGCAGATGTGTATATACATCGCAACGCCGATGGAACAGAGAGCTGCCGGTGCGCGCCTCACATATATACAGCTAAGCGAGCGACGTTTGTACAGAGTCAGAGTGTCTGGGAGCCGTGACGCAACAGGGGCTACAGAGGGGCCAGGGTCCCTACAAACGCTTTAACAACGGGCCCATACAAGAGCTGGACGGTGACTTGCTTTCTTCTTGTGCGGTGGACGTCAGCACTCTTTGCTTATTGAGGTGCTACTAGAAGATTGAGCCTTGGTGAAATTTTGTGGCCAAAGCAAGGAACTCGATGACTGCTCATGCGATATGCAGGCTGCTGCGACTGAACCCATGGGGCTTCCAGACCGACCCGTTACTCTTCACATTTGACGAGCTCAGAACATCCGTGTTGAGGCGCTGCTGCACGTCCATTCAGCTCTGCAACAGCTGCACCTCCTTGCTCTCCTCGAGAGAGGTCGCTTCCCCGGGGGCCCCTCCTCCGGGGCGGTGCAACTGCTGGGAACTCTGCGAACTGCGGTATATCCGTGGCACTGACGAGGAGATTTACGATTCCCAGCGATCCCTTGCGATGCCTCAGGTGCGCTCGATCTAATGTCCTGGGGGTATCAGGCTGGGATGCATCTTTTTTTGATGCTGGTGCCCCGTAGAAGCGCCTTATGTGGGAGTGTATATTCCCGTCAGTGCATACATGGAGCAGAAATGTCTTGGGCGTTTGCCTTTCACTGACACGTCGTGAAGGGATACCCTTCCTGTGCGGTGTGTGAGGGTCTAAATGCAACGGATAGCTTTACGATTGGTTTTTTTGCGTACATGACTTATAGGGCCCATCAGCTTAAGGGGGGATTATCTTTGAGGCGGTCTCTTAGAGAATGCAGACAAAAAAGCATCATGCAGACTGTTCCAGTTGGCATGCTCCAGTTTACGGGTTCAGAGCTGTGGTTAGGCATCTTCAGTGACGTCTTCGGCGAGTGTGCCTTGATTGTCGAAATGCGCTGCTTGTGCTGTCACAGGATTTCCTAGATATTGCCAGAGGTGGCGGTAACTCAAATGTTGAGGAAATACTTCTGGACCTGAAAGCGGCTCACCTTGACGTAATTAAGAAGCATAATCGCCGTAAACAGGCCTCTTAGAAGCTGTCTTGGACTGTGCAGACAACTGTGCTGCAAGGGCGACGTGGTGATGCCTAGTGTCTCTTATTTACCTAGAGAGAGCATTCACTCATTGCCAAGCTACTGCCGGAAGAGGTTTTAACGAGCCTGGACGCGGACTGTCTCACGCATATCTCAATCAGGGAGGTATCTTTTCAAAGGCGCGAAAAGCGGGGTGAGGTGCTCACCAGGAGACGAATTGCCTGGTGCTGTTCAACTAGCACTCCCATCAGACTGTCTTCAGGGAACCCCTACCCCAAGGCACATGGCCGTTCAGGGTTTTACCAGGAAAAAGACTCCGTAGGTATTGTTTAAAGCAGAAAAAGCCCAGTAGGCGCTTGGTATATGATGCTTGCCGAAATCTTTTGCTGGCGAGTAAGAGTGAACTGCGGGATGGTGCAGCAAGGGCTAGGGACTGCCTGCAGACCGTTGCCCAACAAGGCTACCATTCAGTCTCATTTAAAACAGCGGCACCGTCGCGAATACCTCGTTATACGCGAAATGTAGACACAAAGATACGGGTGATCGATTTTATTATCTAGGACGAGCTACTTCAGATGGGATTCTTCATAGGTAGGTGGGTTGAGTGAAGATGGTTTCCTTATGCCATTAGGGCCGCGTGCATTGTCTTGCCCGTGTAACCAGACTCTACTGTATGACAAGGGCTGTAAAGAGGCCGCAAACGCGTTGCTGATAAGCTGGCTCCGAGCAAACATCTGCGTGTGGGGACTTTGAGATGCTTGGCAGGGGTTTAGTGCAGCGAAACTTCATTATAGGTTGTATTTTGAGGCATCCATTCCACGAATGCATAAATCTAGAGACACAACACACTTGAAAGGCACTGCCAATGGTAAGTCTGTTCAAACGCTACGCAGCAAACCGATATACGAGACAAATGAAAATAACGGGGAGCTGCGAACCCTCCCCGTGATGCATCAACGAAGAGGCCACGCGCCGATATCCCCAGTCCACTGGGCCGGGGATACGCCACAACATCAAGTCACGTCTGCGGCAATCTAAAAGCAAGCTCCTGTGCGTGGATAACCACCAAGCACCATGGAGGCTTCTCCCCCCCAAGCTGCATGCATATTTCGGCTGGAAGGGAAGGGCCCTCCTAGACCTCGACGACCGCGGAGTTGCATGTCTCCATGACTGGGGCATGAACGCGCCTCTGCCGCAGCACCCACAAAAACCTTGAGCGAGAATAAGGCAGGCATTTGACTGGTTGTTGGAGACTCCCACAGCTACTGAAGAGAGAGGTGGTCGATCCCAAGCACTCGATCTATCAACTATGGGGAAGGTCATACATATATACACAGGAGTCCACTGATCAAGAGCAGACCCTCTGCTCTGCGTCTGTCGAGGCACACTGCAAATCAAGGGCCCTGTTCTGCATCCTACCCCAAAATATGCCCTTGCATGTTGACACTGCTACTTCAACACATACAGAATTTAAAACCCTGCCCATGCCGCTCATGCAGGCATATGAAGGCAGGCAGGCCGGCAGCCAGAGAGGACTCCCCACCTTGTGATGGTGCTTGTCTGCCGTGATCAGTGTCACGGCCACAACAGCAGTCAGCACTGCCGTCATCCCGATGAAGTACCAGCTATCAAAGCTGCAAGCGAAAGAAAGAGAAGCAGAACCAGGAAAAGCTGGCGGCTCTCTTTGCTACTGAAAATCCTGTAGGTACGGCTCTTAAGGAGATTTAGACGCGCAGCTCCGTATCATTTTCAGAGACGCAGGATACGGCACGCCCAACTTCCCCGAAGCAGAGAGAAGCAACCCCCAGAAGGATGGACGGTATCAGGCCTTGACTTGCCCAAACTCTGGATGCTGGAAAGGAGACCCTGATTTTAGGAAGCGGGTTGAAAAGGCTTTTAAAAGGGCTTACCTACGGCCGACAACAAGCGCGTCGAGGAGGAGAGAGATGGGAATCTGCACATTGGAGGCTGCAGTCGCTACCACAGGGTTCAGAAGAAAGACGGCCCTCCCTGCGAGCAAACACGCAAAAGGACATCCATACGGCTCAACGACTTCCCAGCACCCCCCAGAGTAACCAGCCTCCCTACAGCGCTCTCCACATCGCAACTGGGTAGCCCACAGCCATGCAGTGGCAACCACAACGTGGTTCGGAAGTCTGGTGCATGCACGTACCCCAGCAGATATCTGCAAGGGCGGTTCCCACCAGGCCGCACAGGAGGAGCACCACCCACGAGAGGAAGTTTGGCCACATAAAGGGCTCTACCCGAAAGACGTGAATCAGCAGTGTTAACGCAGGCAAGGCCACCAACACCCACAGACCCATCATCCTGCGCATTCAGCGGCGCAGAAAAAACACTCTGCCACCATATATATACAGCAACAGGAAGAGTCGCCACAGCAGGAGCGCCGCTGTGGTGGGGTGGGAGGGGGGGCAGTGGCTGGCAGGCCTTCCTGGCGAGGGAGCCTTGCTGTATGAATGGGTGCCTTGCACTCAGGGCTTTAGAATCGCCTCTCTTCGAGTGAGATGAGTGTCTCTCCACTAAGAGAGGCTTGCTACTTGGCGGGTTGTGCAAAAATACGCGGCTCACCCGTAGATGAGCTCCACGTCAAAGTCCGGATCAGAAATCTCCTGGGCTTTTAGAGCCGTCGTGTGCAGCGCGTAGGCGGCAGCCGCCATGAAAGAAAGCATGTACCCCAGAGCGCTGTCGCTCGCTGCGGCTTCGGGTGTATCCTCAGCAGCAGCTGCTTGGTCAGGATCACCTAGAGCCGCTGCGGGGGGACCAGCAACTGCCGTTGGACCCAGAGCAGCAGCTTCCAGCACTGCATGAATGGCACCTGGGGGATTACCGACAAGTGCTACCGAAGGCTCCACGGTGTCTGCATTGACTCCCAGATTCGTCTGGAAAGCCTCCCTGTCAGCAGAAGTTTCCTGAGGACTATGATCGGCAGGGGCTGCATTAAACTCTGCCGCGAGATCACTCAAGCCCTCCCACAAAGGCTCTTCTACTTCTTGAGGGGATGATAAAGCCGCAACTTGAGAACTGTTCAAAACTTGGACCGCATGTACTGCGCTGCTAAGTATGGGGGAAGGCACAAGAGCATCGGGCTGCTTAGGAAGGGCTGATACCATGGCTTGCATTCCTGCGGCTGCCACTCCTGCCCCCGTTACCCCCACATCTCCTGCAGGAACATGTTGTGTAGTAGGCACGTGGGAAGAGATGAGCCCCACACCTGCGGCGAGAATCACCAGCCACGTCAGCACTGAGCGGCGGGTTTGCTGCTTGAGAAACACCACTGCCAGAAAATATGACAAAAAGACGGATGTACTCTGAATCACGGAGTTCGAAGTAATGCTCAGTAACGTCAAGCTCGCGTCGAAAGACACCTGGGCAACTGCAGCAAGCCGGCACACGCAAGCCAAGCAGGAACAGGATCTGAAACAAGCGCCTCCGCAGAACGCATGGCGCGCTGACTTGACATCGTGGAGCAGCTCCTCGGCCTGCCGCTTCGCAGACAGCAGACCACCCTCCCAACAGGAGGCTAAACCGCCGCCTACGCCCAGCACCAGCAGAAGCAGCGGCCTGAGCAGGAGGCAACACCTGCAGATACAGCCGGAGAGGACTTACTTAGCCAAAGAGCAGTCAGAGGCAACGTGCGCTTGACGCTTCTCAAGCGCATGTGAAGTTCCTTCGTAGCAAGGCTTTCAAGCTCATCCGTTTCAGTACCGACGCCTTCGGCCACAGCCCACTCAACGCTGCCGCACGCCTTGCCGCCACTGAAACTGTCGGTACAGCCCGTGCTGGAGTGGCAGCTGCTGCCTCCGGAGGTGTCATTTGTACAAGACCTGCGGTTCACGGAGACAGGTAGTGCTGCTTGAGCAGTGCTAGAGTAATGCGCACTCGACAACTCCACAAGAGAGGGACTCGCAGTAAGAAGTGAGAATTCCACGCCTTCTCCCCCCGCCTCGCGTTCGGTGGAGCTGCATACGCCACTATGCAGAGCCAGAGGAGCCTCCGTGCAATCCGCGGGGTGAGAGCGTTGCCGTGGGGGAGGGGGATTGAGAAGCGTTTTAGGAGGCGACTTCGTGGCCTCTGCAAATCCGTGTGGTAAGCGTTGGACTTTCGAAGCCTTCGATCGCAGCAGTCTGAAAGGGCAGAGAAAGAGTTTCAACAGCCGCCGTCGCCGTCTCCGCCCCTCTTCTGGAGCGAGCACAACGCGATGCCTGTTCTGCTGCTGCTGCTTCCGCTTCTGTAGCAGACGCAGGCACCTGTCTACAGTTAGAACTTGAGCATCTTTAGCTGCAGCGCAACGCAGTGGTGCGAGCATGTGGAAATGACGACAACACGCTGGAGAGGGCTGTATTCAAGGACGGCAAGAAACGGCCTTGTCTGGGGGATCCGCAACGAGTGTCGTCCGTATGAAATCTGCTTGGTGCGTCTACGGCAGCACGAAGCGTGGTGGCTGTAGGGAAAACACAAAAAAAGCTGTTTGTGCCTTACCCAAAAAGCCCGCCAGAACAACCTGCCAGATAGGGGCCCTGATGCCGGTGCCACTGCCGCTGGTCTTCCAGGCGTTGCTGTTGCGTAGCGCAGAGGCAGCAGGGGCTAATAGAAAGATAACGGGGCAAGCAGATTGCACAAAAGTCGAAAAAAGGGGCCGAGGAAAGGTTTTGAGGAAGAGTTCTTGGAGCAAAAGCGCTGTGGCGCTCCAGAGGAGGACTGTCACCAGCAACAAAAAGAGTCCCCACAAACACGGTACCGATAATACACCACGGAAAGAACGAGAGGCCCACCGTAGGCACTCAAACGGTCTAACGCGGGTCATCGAATCGGGAGCCCGACGGGCGAAATGGCAGCAGCAACAGCTGCCGCTGTTGTTGCTGCTGTAGTTGTATTCGCCCCGCTGCTGCTACGGTTGCTGCTATGCGCGCTACTGTATGGAAAGCGATATGCGTCTCTGCTCCGCTAAAATCTTTTCAAAGGTGTTACAGCGGATGGACGAGGATGAAGGGGTTACTGAGGGTCTTGAGCCCTCGGAGAGTTTAGATCCAGCGGCTGAGGTTCGTCCGGGGGCGCCTCCGTAAACGCGTTGATCCCAGGGGGTCTGTGCTTATTGATTCTTTAGAAAGAGGCAGGGGATTATTAGAAGAGCAAACTTGCAATGAGGGGATCTAGGCTTCCCCCGGGCTTTCCGGAGGGAATGCGAGTCGACCAGGGGAAGAGGGCCGTGGCAACGGGGCCGGAGGGGCCCTGCTGTATCAGATGACGTGAAAAGCTACTCAAAGAAACGAAACATTAAATCGTCCAGAAAAACGGGGAAATACCGCTGTTAGAGGGTTCTATCGAGACACTGCCCACCTTCGGCATTTACCACTGGGGTGCCCCAGCTGCAGCACCCTGGGGGCTCCTGCTGAGATATGGCCAGCTTCTGCTTCTTCTTCCTGGTTATTGCCAGTCCATAGAGTTGCAGGTGTCAGTGACACTCAAGAAAGTCCTCGGGAGGTCAGGACCTCACAGAGGGGGTGCCGTGCCCTAGCTAGCGCACACTGAAACTGAGCAGCGCACTCTGCGCCTCAGCCTGCATGCTGAAGGCCGAGAAGAGAGTGCCCCTCTCTCTCCTTGGCGGTCCCGTTTCTTCTGCAAAATGTCCCTTTTTCACAGTGTAGGAACGCCAGCGAGGTTGTCATTGACAGATGCCGCTAGAGCGAAAAGCCTACGAGACTCCGGTACTGCTGCCGACCCGCTGCCTGATGCTCAGTCGGTGCCACCGCCGCCCTTCAGACTGCATGCCCAATTTTTCTAGAATATCTCAAGTCTTCCGTTTCTTGACCGCATTATGAATTTATTTATGGGTGCATACCGGCGGAATTCGTCAGAGGTTAGCATCCGGTGTATTGCACCGCGTTACCCCAACTCACAAGTCGGCGCCTGTTGAATGTATGAAGGTCCCACGAAAATTGCTGCCTTGTATAGCGCCTAAACACAGCACAAAGAAGTCCACACACCTACACGCACTCTGAGGCACCGCCACCAGGAGGCAGATACTAGAACCTTGGCACATCTGCTCCTCCTGTTCAGTAGGTATCGCATATAGAACCACAATATCAGGCTTTGCTTGCCCCTTGACAAGCATCAGCTTTGCTGCTGTTGCAAGAATGCAGGGTTCTATTTCCCACACGACCCCATGAAGCAGATTAATAGGTAGGTAATCGCTCTAATTGCGTAGTTTCAGTGGATGCGGGCGTCGCTTCTCTTGGACGATTGGCCTGACGCCGGGCCTTTAGTCCATAATGGCTAGTCAGCAAGAGAACCAGCACTGCACAGGGTCGAATGCGCTGGTGCTGGAAGAACCTAGCTCATTGGCTGCTAATAAAAAGCATAGTGGGGAGGTGCCTGAGCTGCAAAGTGAACTTGAGAGGCAGACGGGCATCATCGGGCGGTACAGTTTACAAGGGGAGGAAGATGGTGGCACCTTCAGTATTCTCAGAGCCAATAATACGACTCAAGAGAGGCTCCTTGCTGCAGCTGCCAACGAGGGTGACGTAGGTGACTCTGATTGTTTGGCGGAGGGGGGGTTCGCCGTTGAAGAGTCACCTGATGGTGTCACAACACATAACTCACCAAATGCGGTGGCGCCATCGTCTGCCATCTTTTGGGCATTGCCTATAGCCCCTTTCACGCCAAGAGAAGACGCAGGTACTCCTGAAAAACTCACAGACGCAGGAACTACTGCTCCTGACGACCCTCCTAACCTCCATCATTGCTTGCGGCAGTGGGGTATCCGCAAAGAGCCAGAGGGTGCAAATTATGAAGGGACTCAACGTGAAGAGGTAGAGGAAGCCGCAATTACAGGCTTCTTACAACAGTTCCAGGAGATACTGCCTCCCGAAACTGCAGCAGACTGCGTCGTGTGCGCCCTGAGGCCCGTCCACCCTGTAAGCTGTGAGGATGGTTGCAGCTGCTGTAGCGAAGCCAAGAAGGCAGCTGCGCGCAATTTAAAGAACAAGTTTGCTGTTGTCCTTCCTTCTTCTGCAATTACAGCTGAGGAGCTGCTGCAGCAGGGCTCGAAGCAACAGCGCTTGTTCGAGATGCTTGAGGACAGCCGTAGCATAGCCCGCAGCTACGAGTGCCGCCTTGTACAGGCAGAAGGTGAGAAAAAAGAGCTGCAGCGGCAGGTTCGTGAGCTGCAGCTGCATCAACAGCAGCTGCAGAAAGAAGTAGCTGCTACAACAAGCCATTTTAAGCTACAACAAGCTGCTTGGGAGCAGAAGGACAAGATGCAGCAGGATCAACTCCAGCACCTTGTGGTCACACTTAGGGCACACACAGACGAACTCGAAGCGTTGCGTTGCACAAAAGCCCTTGAAGCAACTAACAACGAACTGCGACACGAGCAACGACTGCAATGTGGTATACAAGGAGAAAGATCTGAAAGGGAGACCTGCTCCAAGACATGTACAAGGCCCTTCTCGAGTTTCATGTCTTCCAAAAGCCTTTCGAGCACAGAGAAAGCCTACAAACAAGCATCATTGTGCGTTCAAGCCTGCAGCAGCTCAGGGCTTCCTGAGAAGCCATTGAAGTCAGAGATAGAAAAGCCCTCGGTCGTCGCTACAGGAGAGCGGAAAGACAGTAACACCCCCTCCAGTTTGATGGACTTGGAGGGTGCATGTCCATGGAAACAGGAGCTGCAGCGGTCGAGGTCACTGCATATTAATCAAATACAAGCAAAGGAAGGTGGACTGGAGAACATGGGCAGCAGGCTGCAGAAGCTGACTATGGAGGGTGCCGAAGGTGCCCGGCTCCGCGCACGGACAGCACACACGCCTCGTTTGTGGCAGTTTAATCTGCGTGGCCGTGAAGGCGATACTAAATTCCCGGATCCACAGAAAGCAGGTGGATATCAGCCTCCTAGAAGTAGCCTGGAGGACCTGGGGCTGCCCCAGGAGAGAGCCAGAAGCATCTTTCCGCGCATTCCACCTCTGACAGCCAGTCTTTCGGAGAGGGAGGCTGTTGTAGGCAGTCCCCTCCTATGTGCGCACCGCGAGAAGGGCAACAGCAAACAGGCAGGGGTAGCTGTGCTAGAGCGTTTACCAGACAATGATAGGGAGGAGGGTGACACAATAATTGAAGAGCGCGCCGAGCAGAAGAGATCTATCCCCTCCTTGCGACTCGATCGGAATGGATCAGGTTGTAGGGCCCCTCAGGCATGTGATTCTTTGAGGATACGTTGCCCGCAATCTGCTTTATGCGTACCAGAGACGCCAAGAGGATATTTAATTGGCAAAAAGCCTGCATGGTATCGAGCTCGGAACTACTCGCAGCTTCCACATAGCCTCAACATTCAGTTAGAGAGCATGGGCCAGCAGGTACTATCACAAGGAGAACAAAACCTGACGAGGTGCTTAGAGAGACAGTGGAGAGCTCCCAAGCAAACGGCGTCACCTCTTGAGGCTGCACCCTCAGTAGGGAAAAAGTCAGATTTACAAGTGGAGCAGCAGCCACAGAGGGAGTCAGAGAAGGCCCTAATATTCCGAACTTCATCTGCACCCGCTAGTGCGCGTTTCCCCACACCAATGAAGAGCCTCACGGCTATCTCGACGCACCTCATAGCAACGCATGCACCAGCAGAAGGCTCTGAGCTGCGTACGAAGGATGGCGAAGGCAGGCAAGGGGCTCTGCAGACTGCTTGCAAGCTTGATGATTCCTGTGAGAGCAGCAGGACACGAAGTGCATCGGCTCAGCTGAAGCACGAGGCACAGGAGGATCGCAATTCCCATCGAAGTCAGAAGTACAGGGGCAAAAAGACGGAAGAGGACTTTCAAGAAAGCCTTCGCTTAACCGGAGAACAAACCGCTGTGGTAAGGCTTGCCGATCCAAGAAAGGAGGAGCGATCACAGCGCAAGATGGTCCGGTGGAAGGGTCGCTCCTCATCGTGCAGCTTTCCTTCTGAAAGGGCGACCACACACCGTTTACTGTATCTCATGCCTGGGGGAGAGACACTTCACCCAAGGAAGCTGCGGCAGATGATGCAAGGGGACAAATTGGTGCACCGGCAGCTGCAGCTCACAATCGACGAAGGTCAACCGACCCTTTGTTACAATGCGGAAGAGGAACAGCGCCAGCAGAGCTCTTGTGTAGGAATGGGGAAGTGCAATAACCAGGAAGGGGTACCAAAATGCTTAGATATGAGTCTGGAAATATCAAAGGGAGCTCTTCCTGAGGCTGTAAGGGGAGCCGAGGCACAAGAGCTTCCAGCAATGCCAGAAAAAATTGACGTGCCATCCACTCCAGTATTCCCGCATTCCATGGAATCCCAGAGCGACACTACGCATGCGAAGTGGAATCATGGGGACACAAAATCAACTGCGCGTCAGAGACAGCAGATAGAAGAGCAGCTGCAGAGCAAGCGGCCACACGACCATCCACAATTCGGAGCCTTAGCACATCAGCAAGGGCGTTCACCCCAACCTGCGGAGACATGTTGGCTGAAACCCGCACTCGCGAACCCTCACTGTTCCCCACTCCCGCTGGCTGCACCTTTGTCCCATCATCTCCAGCCGCAAAAACAGACGGTGCCGTGGTTGGCGGATATTCCACAACTCGCGAGAGGCTTTTGTGTAGCAAGGTCCCCGCAAATACAGACCGCTGAATCCAAGTCTTGTCCACTTGCTCTCCAGAAACTTACTGCCTTCAGCCCAAGACCAGTTCTTTTGTTTTACGCATCCCAATGTCAGATTCAGCAGCAGGCCGCGCAAGGGCCTCAAGCCGAGGTATATTTTCCTGATGTCTGCAAGCTCCCTAAGTGCTGCCACGACACCAATAGCGAAACTTCAAAAACCGCCATTGCAGAAGCCCCTCTGCTTGGAGCTCAAAATGGAGAGAGCTATTACTGCAAGGCCGTAGATGGATGCTCCCCGGGAGGCACCTCAGCTCTTGAGTCTTGGCCTAAAGATAAGTTACATCCTGGGCGTTCTGAGCAGAGTAAAACAGGAATCAGTGACGCCAGTCAGACAAAGTCTTGGTGTGTGCTTTGCGAAAACAAAGCAGAGCTACTTAGACCCCTTGGTGCAGCAGTAGGGACAGCCCTATCCAGTAGCATTCTGCAAGACGGTGCGAGGTCCTGTGCGCCTCCTGAAAAGACTCAACAGCGTACTGATGATCCTCATGAGCCCCAAAGCCACAACGAAATCAATTTATTTAACCGGCCTATGAGTGATGCAACTCAGCCGAGTTACCAAAAGCACCAACAGAACCCTTCACAATTGGTTGATGCCTCCCCCGGAGAGATACTGCCGCTCCAGCAATCTACCGACCCGGGATCACCAACGAATCCACAGGAACAAGGCGTTGTAGGTTCGCTGCTGCCAAGAAAAGCCACTACTAAGGCAGCTGCGTCACCTCACACCATCCAGAAGGGCAGCCTCGGGACGTGGATTAAGCCAAGCTGCTTCTACATGCATGGCAGAGAGCCAGAAGTCAAGGACCAGCCCAGCAGCCCCGAGCAACCTGCGGCAGTGACAAGCGAGGACTGCTGTGAAGAAGGGCACCGAGAAGCACAGCATGCACAGCGCGCGCCAACAATTCATCAAGGCCACCAGCTACATCAGCAAAAGCCCCAGGATAGCCGGCAGCACCAAGGAGAACAGCACCAAGGAGAACAAGAGCAGCCGCAGAAACAGCGAAAGCACCAAATGCAGCAGGCATCGAAGAAGCACTGCCACCAGAAACAAGTGCAGCACACACAGTGGCACTTACCAAGTCCATCGCTTCAGCGGTCCCAGTCGGTGGCACCCGTCCCAGCTGCAGTTCCTGCAATGCGAGCATCCCTGCTACACTCGCAGGGCGGGCCCCCGCTATTAGCGGTCGAAAAGCACCGAGGTCCCTGTGGCTCGGCAGTGGCTTTGCAGTCACAGTCTGTAAGGCATAAAAACGGCGTGGACTATGTGACCCCTGCAGTCGGAGACAATGCAACTTTTTCTAGCATAAGCAGTTTGGACAGCCTCAAGAATGCCTGTAAACCCGAACACGAATTACTATTTCCGCTGCAGCAACAAAGGCAGCATGGCGGCGGCATCCTTGCTGAGAGCTATCCCCCATCCCGCACGCATGTCTTTGCTCTTCTTCGCCATGAGAATGCAGACGTTGTGCGGCAGCCAGGGCCCCGTACAGCTCACTTGCCTCCGGCGTCTACTAGGGCAGTGCAGGTGCTCCAGTGTGATACACAGCATTCTGCTGATGCTGCTACGAACGGGGCACCACAGGCTTCGAAAACTGCGCTTGCGCAGACGCCTCACCAGCAGTTGGAGCTGCGAATCCTCGAGCTACAACAACAGCAGACGCAGCTGCACCAGCAACAGCATGCACAGTACCGGAGACTGCTGCAGCAACAGCGGACATTCCTGCAGCAGCAAAGACTCTTTCAGCAGCAGCAAGAGCAACGCAGACATCGGGACGTTGCTAGAGGATCGCATCAACGCAGTGCGACTCCCCAAGCGCAGCAGTGCCATTGGCAAGTGGCATCGATTCCCGTGCCTTACGTGGACTTGGGCCGCCAGCCAGGGAGTCTTATGTATATGCACGTACAGGAGAGCCCTCGCTGGTTCTCGAATTGCCAGTATCAGCAGGAAGTTCCACGATGCACACCGCCATCGCTCAATGGCAACGCAACAGCAGCACCAGTAAATCCGGTTACAATGCGAGCTGGCTTCCTGGAGCCCCTGACTCCCAAGGCCTCTACCAACAGGACAGACGGCGGGGTAGTGGCGTTAGGCCCTGCAGCAGAAACACTACCGACACCAGTTGCACCGTTGCTTGCTGGGCCGCCGTGTGTGCTGCTGCCGGTGCAGCCAGCCTCTATCACACCTGTGTTAGCCCCCCAATTTGCGGGGACTGCTGTGTCTCAGCGTACTGCTGAGCCTTCCCTTTCTCCCCGGACTCCAGCGGATCAGCAGTTGCCTCCTAAGTTGCTTTACCGGCGGTGAGGTGCAGCAGCGATTCAGGAATTGTTGCGGCTCTGCTAAGCCACCAGGGGGGCAACCACAGCCCCATAGATTTGCATTCGAACGCTTCGCCCCCAACAGGTGCTCGCGGCAGCTCCTCTCAGTGAACTCTTTCGGAGTGTCGGTAAATAATATCCATCAGAAACGTATTGCTGATACTTTTAGAGCCAATAGGCAGCCCTGAATGCCTAAGGGGTCCCTAAGGCATCAGGCCAACTTCGGCAAGCTCCTTCAGCGACCCACTTAGGCGTGGAGTGCCTTTGGTGCTTAACGCGTTACCTTAAGCTCCAATTATAGAGGCGCTAGTTGCCCTGTAACGTCTCTTGATGAACTACCTTTGTATGTCGAAAAAAGCTTCCTCCTGGCCCTTCCTCGTAGATGTTCGACATCTGGTTGGAATGGGTATACCGTGAGTTGACACTGGAGAGGAACGTTCTACGTTTACAGAGGGGGAGGCTCTATGCCTCCGTGTCCTTCACAGCTCGCTAAGTGATGCCCAACTATGTGCCAGTACTGAATTGAGGGTAGGCATTTTGGCCACGGCTCCAGGAGAAACACTGTGCTGCGTGGTCCCCCGTGTATTGCCATCCTCTTCGCTAAGCGTTCAGTGCTCACAAGTAGGTGTAGGTGTTTGCCCAGACGCACTTTGTTTCCATAACCTCCGTTTCAGCTACTGAACAGCTGCATGTACACCTTACCAGAAAAGAAGACAAACGATTCATCTAGGTGACCGGCGGCGTAAGCCTTCCGGAGAAAAGCAGTGCTTGAGCGCAAATGACAAAGTGTAAAACTAGGCTGAAGCCGATCCGTAGAGGAAGGAAGGACCCCAGCTTCCGCAGCGGTGCCTCCTCGTAAGCAAGTCAAAGTGCGCGCAAAAAGAGCTATTTTTGCCAGACTTTCCTGAAGGAATGCTCTGTAGCACGTCAGGCCGTTAGAGAATCCCACTCTCCACAATAGGAATACCGGTAGCAAAAGCGCCTGCCACCAGTGTGCATGAAGAGGGTTTTTTTGGAAGTGCTGTCCGCCCAGAACATGCTCCGCTTACCTAGAAGGAAACAGCCCCTATTAGACCTGCCCGCTTGGAGACACTGCAGCTCACTGGGGCTTCGATTTATCGGTTCGATTTCGTTGTGGAATTCCATCCCCGTAGCGGCGCAGTACCTGCGAAACTCCGAGACGGCGCGCACGACGCACCAATGATCAAAAGCGGGTACTACTCCCTATGTGCAAGACGCATGCAAATCCTGTGTGAGGCTAGCCGAGCGAGCAACACGCGTGTGCAGACACACGTTCGGGGAGCCCTGGCAATTTGAACTGCCTGCAGGTTACGCCTATCGACAAACCTCGTTCATGAGCGCTTCGAAGTCGCCAACCTCAATGGAGCGACCCAAAGGAAGAAGCGGCGCGATCTCGCAGTACGGGGGTACACGGTTCGCGTAAGTCTTCATGCACGAGCAGCCTGGAGTACTTGGCCTCAAAGAAGGTCTCCGTCTGCAGCTCTCTCCCCCCGGGCAGAGCCAAGCAGCCTCAACGCCGCTGATGGCCTCTCGGCTCTTCTGCTGTGTGCTGGAGCTCCTACTGGTAGCTTCACCCTTGCCCTCTCTCGACTGACAGGCGGTGCAGTTCTGCGGATGCTGAGCGCCTTCCGCCAGAGGACTCCTCCCAGAACGGCTCTGAGACTCGCATGGTGGGAACGCTGCAGAGCGAGCTTCCTCCTCTTCCTGCTGATGCACTTCTCGCCAAAGCTGTCTTGCACTTGGAACGGGCTGCATTTGCTGCTGTTGCATTTGCTGCTGTTGCATTTGCTGCTGGTTATGTTGTTGTTGCTGCTGCTGCCGCGCCTTCCGTTCTAAGAGGTAGAAATTCTCGCCAAAGCCGTCTCGGGCTCCGGTGCTAAAGAAAATTTCTAGCCGATACCGGCCCTTCTCCTCTTGTTGCTGTTGCTGTTTCTGCTGCTGTTTCTGCTGCTGCGTCCGTTGCTGCTGACACGCCTGCTGCTGCTGCTGTTGCTGCTGCTGCTCCTGAGGAGCGCTGCCTGGCGCTAATTTGGACTTCCTGCGTTCCCACACGCGAAAGACGATGTGCGACAGGTAGTGGAGCTCGCACTGCCCGACCCAGTCCTTCAAGTGCACACACCCACACAGACACACACAGACACAGAACGGCAACAATCTCCAAGCAAGAAATGCCGCCACGAGCCACATAAGGAAAAGCCCTTGAAGAGAAGGCGTCTTAAGGGCCGGTTGCACTTCACAAGATTTGCCGATTGGGAAAAACCCTCTTTCTACCTTGAGCTCTCGACGTGGGTGTCTCTCTGTGCGCCAGCCGCCCTTCCCCTCCCTCCCTCGCTACACTTCTTTCTCTGCGCAGAGATGCCACTGGTGTACTCTACGAGAAAAGCATCACCCTAAGCTCGTGGTCTAGGATAGGCTTGAACTGCTTCCTGCCCGCATCGCCCTCCGCGCCGCCGTCTTCCTCTGTCCCTCCCGGAAGTCTTGATTCTGCATTGCTATCGCTGAAGGAACTCCTCCTGCCACGTCTAAAACCAGTTTCACAGGCTTCTCCACCATCTGCAGCTTTCGCGGCAGCCGCAGCAGCGGCGTTTTGATTGAGATCCCTATGCGTGGTGTCTGCTGCGGGGGAACCGTTGGAGGGCTTGCATGCCACTGCACTATGGCTAAGAAGGAGCACGTTGAGCAGCGCCTGTGGAAGAGCGGCACACACGCCACTTGCATGGCGCAAGGATACCAAAAATACCCGGCAAGGCTTCCATTAGGTGCCTGGCTCAAGCCATAGCCGGAGGCAGCGGCAGCAGTTCAGGGTCCGCCTCTCTGTTTCTTTTCTTTGCGCAAAGAAAAGAAACACAGATTCCAGCGTCTACGAGGACCTCGCGCTGAAGAGCCTGAGATGAAGCCGCGGGAAAGGGATAGCCGAAAGCGCCTGTTGGAAGGGAACTACTCTACGAGGGAGGGAGATGCCAGAGGCGGCTGTGGCAGCTCTTACCTCCACATGACTGGCACTTGTTACGTAGAAACGGCTGCGGACGATGCGCCAAGGGGAACGAATACCAAAGAGGTGCGCCTCGCCCTCCTTGAGGCGGATTTGAGCGGCTACCTGGAGAAGGAAATTGCGAAACGCAGCAAGTCAAAGAAATGAGAAGGCCCCTACTCGCCTTTAGAAAAGAGAGAGAGACAGAGAGAGAGACAGAGAGAGAGAGACAGAGACAGAGAGAGATAAACGACGCCAGAGAAGGAAGGCACTATGACGGCAATGGGAGCAAAAGCAAGAGGGAGATGAGGAGATAGCGGGTTTTATCCTGACTTCGTGCTGGTGAGGGTCGTCATCTTCATGTTCCTCTTCTTCCTCGCCGCCTTCTGCTTCAGGGGAGGCGTCTCCAGCCAGAGTAAGTTCCCCCTCTGCCGGTGCTACTGCCCCGTTGCAGCCTTGAGGTGTGTACTCGGCTAGTGAAGTTCTCAGCTCCTGTCGCTGCTCGACAGAGTCTTGGCGAGATGGCATGGCGCTGCTGCCGTCAGGAGCTGTTGAAGCTGCCAGCGCTAAAGCGCCAAGCTGCTGCTGTACCTGCTGTAGCTGCTCCTGCAAGAGCTGTTCAACTACAGGTGTCGTCAGTTGCTTCTGGGGATGTTGGAGTTCCTGGGAAGGGGCTGTGCCGTCACGACTGGCGAGCTGAGACTGCATACGAGGAGACACTGCTGACACTGCTGCTGACACTGCTGACACTGCTGACACTGCTGATGCTGACAGTGCTGATGACAGTGCTGCTGCTGATGCTGGTGCTTCGCCTTGCTGCTCCTGTTTCTTCAGGAGCTTTAATTCTGACTGGACATGCTCCAGATGTATCTGCTGCATCTGTTGGACCTGTTCCTCCCTCCTCTGTTTAAGAGCCTTCTCTTTCTTCATGCGACCTCCGCTTGTCTGATGCGCCCACAGATCGTTGCTGTTGATAACAACCGCCTCGGCAGTATCAGCTGACCCCATGCCTCCTGCCGCGGTTGCAATGCAAAGAGGACGAAGGGTGATGTCTGCGGAGCTGTTCACACCCCCGCCTCCCCCTGGAGGACTGCACCTGCTCAACGCTGCTCGACTCGTGCTGGTGCCAATCGATGTGCCGCTGCTGCGGCTGTTGCTGCGGCAGCTGCTGCTTGTACTGGTACCCCCTGAGTTGGTGCGGCCATGTCTGCTGCTGCTCGCAGACCTGCCATGTGTGCCCCCACTCCTCGAGCTTGAACATGCCCCCGAATCCAGCACTCGCCTCACCTCAGAAGCTGCAGCGACACTTATTGCAGGAGAGGGACTGCCTGCCGCCACGTTCCTTGGAGAGGCTCCACCAACTGGTGCATACCTCCCGCAAGGGGACTGTAGAAGGCTTTCAACTGCGTGCATGCACACACAGTCCGCAGGGGTCCTACTACGCCCCTACAGGCAATCAAAAAGAGGCGAGGCGAAGGCTCAGTCCTACGTCGCTTTCTTCATACACAGAGGGAGGGAGGCAAAAGGGCCATTCCGCCTCGAATCGTCTGCACCATCCTGTCGAAAGAGACCCTCCCTTTCTCCCCCCATATTTGTGTGCTCGCTCTACACGCTGCGGGCACCTCCCCCTAAACAGGCAGGAGGCACCTTAGTCACGCTACACACATGGCAAACAAGAGGGAGAGAGAGAGAGAGAGAGAGAGAGAGAGAGAGAGAGAGAGGGAGAGAGAGAGAGAAAGAGAGAGAGAGAGAGCGAGAGAGAGAGAGAGAGAGAAAGAGAACGCAAGCGTCAGTGAACTACATACCACAAGACACCGTGAATGCACTCTAACTGATGAAATACAACATCTGACATGCAATGTTTCTCTATATTAGCTCACGAACCCGCAAGCTCTCTTCTCACCCAGCATGCCTGCGACACTGCATGTTCCGGCGACCTTTAGGAAGGGTTTATTTTTT